AATTACAAAGTTTTGAGTTCAAGAAACCTTGTATATTATGGAAGCAAGAGTACAAGAGGACATAAAAATCAAAATTGTCAAAATGCAAAATCTATAGTAACAACAGTCCTTAAATCAGAACTACTTCGGAGACGAAGCTCAGAACGCGCCATTTTCTAGTCTTCTGCATATTGGAGTCATTCTTCATTCTCTTTTGCAACAAATTAAATGATCCTACATCCAATTTCTGTACGCTCCTAAGAAAAGTTGGGGAAAGGAAGGGGAGGGGGGGTAAGACGATCATGGATAGATAATTATCTGAAATGGTTACAAAATACTTTTTATTTATGCCTAGGCCCTTGAACCCAAGCACCATCAATGGAATCGAGAACTCCAGTCAAGCCATCGTCAACAAAATCACCAATACTTTTTATTTTTCCCTCCTTGGGCTCAACAGGGTACTCCCCCGAAAAACAAGCATAGCAAAAGCTGGGTGAATCATCACCCAACATTCCCCTTAAGCTATCAATAGACAAAAACGCAAGCGAATCAGACCCAATGTACTCCCTAATTTGCTCCACATCCAACCTATTTGAGATGAGCTCCTCAGAGCTAGGAGTATCCACACCATAATAGCAAGAACCAATGATGGGCGGGCAAGCAATCCTCATATGTACCTCTTTTGCACCAGCCTCCTTGATCAATCGAACTATTTTCGATGATGTAGTTCCCCTAACAATCGAGTCATCCACAACCACAACCCTCTTCCCCTCCAAAACAGCCTTCACTGGTGCCAACTTAAGCTTCACACCAAAGTCCCTAATCCTCTGAGAAGGCTCAATAAACGTTCTACCAACATAATGAGACCTAATCAAACCCTGCTGAAACGGCACACCAGCTTTCTCAGCATACCCAAGAGCAGCAACAACACCAGAATCAGGCACAGCAATAACCACATCACACTCAACCGGCGATTCAGTAGCCAAGATTATACCAAATGCCCGCCTAGACTCATACACAGACCTACCAAAAACAATTGAATTCGGCAACGAAAAGTAAATGTGCTCGAAAATACACTGCTTGGACACAGGATGAGGCATCAAACACAATGACTGAACCCCATCTTTGTCCACAACTAAAACCTCACCAGGATACACTTCCCTCTCATAAGTAGCCTCAATTAAATCAAGTGCACAAGTCTCAGAAGCAAAAACAACAGCCCCATTACTCCTCCTACCCATAACAAGCGGGCGAAACCCGAAGGGGTCTCGAACCGCCACGAGCTTATCCTCAGTCAAAAACACCATACTATAAGCCCCTTCTAACTGTTCACAAGCATCAACAATCCTCAAAAAAAAGGGTCTAGCCTTAGAAATAGCAATCAAATGAAGAACAACTTCAGTATCAGAACTAGTATTAAAAATTGAACCATTTTCTTCAAGATTTTGTCTCAAAGCTTTATAATTAACTAAATTACCATTATGAGCAACACCCACTGACCCGAACCGGTAACCGGCAACAAAAGGTTGAACATTCTTAAGCATAGAAGACCCAGCAGTCGAATATCGAACATGTCCAATCGTTGATTTTCCCGGTAACTGGTCAAGTTTCGTCTCATTGAAAACCTCTGAAACTAACCCAACTCCAGTAATACTCTGCAAAACGCCCTCGTTTACGGTGACGATTCCAGCACCTTCTTGCCCACGATGTTGTAAAGCATGCAACGCTAAGTAACAGAGACGCGACGCCTCGGAGTCGCCGTAAATTCCGACAACGCCGCATTCTTCCCGGGGTTTATCATCGGAGACATCGATGAATTTGTCGTCGTCATCTGGGTGTTGATTTTTGGAGGAGGAAAAGGGGGAAATAGGGTTAATGGAGGATTTGAGGGAGGTGGGTTTTTGGGGAGGTGAAAAGGGGGAAAAACAGGGTTTTGAGAGGGTTTTAGAGGAGAGAGAAGAAAGGTGAGGAGAGAGAAAAGTGGGGTTTTGAAGAGATGGTGAGCGTAAAGCTGTTGACGCCATTGATGAAAGGTTGGAGTTTAAGAGGAGAGAGAAAGTGAAGAGAGAGAAGGAGAAGGATTGGTTATGGCGGGCTAGGGTTTTGAGAGAGAAGGGGTGATAAGAGTGGAGTGAGTGGTGGTGTTCGGCTGTAGAGGAGGGAACTCAAATCGTTTTTTAAAACGCTGCGTTTTAGGGTGAGAGGAAGGATTGTGGGATTTGAAATGATGCGTTTTGAAGGGTTTTGTTGTGGGACTTTTGTTGAGCACAATATATTCCAAAAAATAAGGAAAAACTTTATATATATGGAATTGCTAGAATGAGAAATAAGAAAATGAGAAAAACACTAAGCTCTTGACATATCATCTGAATTTAAAATTTAAATTCCCTCCTCTTTTTATTTTTAACTTTCTCATATTTTAACAATGACATGTGTTAAGATATTATTAGCTTTTTCATTTTCTCATTTTTCATTCCAGCAAATATATATATATATATATGTATGTATATATATATATTACTAGAATTAAAAACTTAAGTTTGATGTTTTCTATGTAGCCTTGTACGGTTGATAAATTTGTTTAAACTAAGTAGAATGTAATGTGATTTCCCTAAAAAAGAAAAAAAAAATGGAAGTAATATAATTGTTTATTGTATTGTCATTTTATTCATTTAATTTTTGAAAGATATTGTTATACGTACTCTTTATAACTTTTCCTCCCAAAAAAAAAAAAAAAAAAAAAAACCTCATTATAAACTAATTGTATGCAATTATATCTTCTTATGCTTAAAACGCATCTCATTTTTCTAAGATTTTACGAGTCGAACCAACATTGTACTCCAATCACATCATGCTCAATAAAAATCACACTTATTGTAATTCAAAAGATAAATACAAGTAAAAAAAATGAGTGGTGTTCAATTAGCTTAAGATAGAATTTTGAAAAAGTAATGGGATTTTTTTTTTCAAGAAAAATAAATAATCCAATCATTCGAGGTCGGAAAGAGTAAAAGATACGAGAAACAATTATAAATACCCTAAACAAAAGAATTGTTAAATGGATATAAAAGACATTTTCATAATATTTTTTTTAATAATACGAGTATTTTCTAAATATATAGTCACAAATACATTGACTATCCAATCAGCCCGTTTCAGTGCGAAAAAGTAATTTAGCTCACAAAAGTTTGTTCAAAAGAACTTGGATTTAGTTAATCTTGATTCCAATGATAAATGTTTTCTCTTTCTTTTTTAGGTTGTTCCGTTAGAAGGGGTAGATTACCATTTATTGCATGGAGAATAATCAACTCAACGAAATAGTCCTTCCATAAATTATACTCCACCCAAAATAGCCGTATAATCTATGCAATTAAATTACTTGTCCAACTAATATTACCAATTCAAATAATGTCATTTTCAGGAATATTCCATCATTATCTTGTAACGCAAAAGAATAAGCACATCAATAAATCATCACACTTTTTTCTGCCTTTTGGCCTTTGTGTACACTAAACGGCTGTGCATGCAATGCAGCCGTGTTTTATGGGAGTCTTAAACTGAACGTTTCCAAATTAAATTATCATTGCGAGGGCCCGGAAAAAAAATATATGTTGTTCATTTGACAACGAAAAAGGATCCTGTAGGTAAGAGCATCTTTATTGGTGAACCCAAATAAATGGTTCATGGGTCACTATCACCATTTCTCTCTCATCCACATCAACCCAACAAACCATTTACAATATTCACTCTTAACAATGAACACTAAACAATGGTTCATCATCAATACTCCCTACCCCACCTTATTTTATTTTTGTAAATATAATCTTTTTTGTTTCATAATTATAATTTATTAACCCGATGTCAATGTAATTAATTGACGTATTTAATATTTTAATCGTGATTACTAATTAAGAAATTATCGCATTTTTTTATCAGCTTTTTAAAAAACTAATTCTTGTGATTAATATTTTTTAAACAACAACGCAGCTAATTTTAATTAACAAAAAAAAAGAGGTACAAATCGTGATTACAGTTCTACAACTATAATCTAGTACATTTTATTTAAAAAAAAAAAACAACTACACATCGTTTTGTAAGATGTCCTTAGGGATAACCATTTGTTGTAAACCTAGTTGCCTAAGTTTTCGTTGTTACCAAATTTATTCCATATATGTTCGACCAAGTCGTTTTTTAGCTGCAAATGAGTCTGTTGATCCTCAATCTCTGTTCTACGAGACAAGTATAAGCCGATATCCACAATACGATCAGTACGGTACTCGGTAGTGTCCTCATTAGCGTTGCCTCCAGCATTCATAAACTCATTGGTATTAACGTTATTTTGATACGTCTCTCGTTCATCTTCAACGATCATATTATGTATTATGATGCAGGCGAGCATGATATTGTGGAGTATGTCGGTATCCCACGCCAAAGACGGCTTTTTAATAATGGCAAAACGAGCTTGAAGGATCATATTTTGACCCAAATTTTTTTTCTTCTTTCTATTTGTTTTGGGGTTGGTATTAGCATCCATAATTATAATTTATATTTGGAAAAAATAAAAATTTAATAATAATAATAATAACGACAATAATAATAAAAATAATAATAATAACGATAATAATAATAAAGGAAATAATAATAATAACGATAATAATAATAAAAATGATAATAATAACGATAATAATAATAATAATAATAATAATAATAATAATAATAATAATAATAATAATAATAATAATATTGGTAATTATAGAGGGGATTTTTGAAGAGAAAAATATAGTAGAAAGAAATGGATTTTCAAAGTTGAAGAAAGTATAGCAATATGGGTGTCTATTTATAGAGGGGAAAAAAATAGAGCCGTTGGTAATTTTTTTTTTTTTTTTGATTTGTGTTTTGTAAAATATATCCGTTGCAAAATTACAACGGATTTATTTAAAACAGTGACACGTGTCAAGCAGCGGCTGGGCCAAGTGGCGCGCTCCCAGCCGCTGCTTTCTATTTTTTTCCTGAAAAAAAAATAAAAATGGGTGGGGCCCACAATCCATAAATTCGTCCAAATGCTTGCAGCAGCAATCGATCCCACAACCATTCACTATGAACAATTATAGAGATCACCATTAAACCACCCATTCACTTGTTCACTTATTGTGAACTATTTTTTTGTTCACCCTTAAGGCTGCCCTAATGAAAGTGACGAAAAAAGGGATAGATTCTGCCTCAGCAGTTTCCAGAATCGCGTTTCCAGCAAAAAGATGTAACTACTTCTGATCTATGGAGTTATGACATCCATGGGGCGTATAGATTCCCCCCTAAAACAAAAATAATAACTGAGGGTGTTGTGAGGTGATACATGTTAACGCTTGACCCATTGGAAGCTCTTTCTTGCTTTAGCTTTACCGGGCTTTTTACGCTCCACAACTCTAGGATCTCTTGTCAAAAACCCAGCTGAATTGTGATGCAAAGAATCATTAGATTGTTAGGCAATGAAAAGCAGCAGAACAAGAGTACAATGCCAAAACAATAATCTAATAGGTTGGAAATGCTTTGCGAGTGACTAGGATTCTATACCTTCTCTGAGTGGAGGGCGCAACCCAGGTTCCCAACATTGCAATGCCCTGCTAATCCCTAAACGGATTGCATCAACTTGACCTGTTTCAGACAAAAAATAAAACTAGGGTTAATTTTTTTCTCCTTAAACCAATAAGTTCCAGGAAAGTCAAGTAAAACAAAGTTTCTGCAAGTTTCAATTTATTCATTTGAGTTCAGATAAGGCTACCCAAGTTCGATTCACAACTAACATAAATTTAGACAAGTTCATGCGAAGTACTGTGTAAGTTTAGATCATCTTCCAATTGTAAAGGAAAATGGGAATACATGCGAGAAACAAGCAGCCAATTGCTTAAATGCTGCTATAATAAGCAATTGTCGTTCACACCTCTGTCAAAATGAAGACTAAACACTCCAAATTGAAAATACAATTACAATAATTGCTGGAACAAAAACTAGAAAACCTACAAGTCCAAAAGGTGGGGGAAAAAACAGTGGAGATTGCTCTGATAGAGGACATGAACTTCACCAGTCCTTTTTTAAAAGATGGAGCCACATGACATCAGCATAACCAGCTCAAGGAATTGCAATACAAACTGACATGAATTACAGTTTTCAATTTTCTGACTGATCTAAATCATCTAATGCACAACCAAAACAGCAAACTAACAAAAGAAGAGTGAGCCAAGCTCTCATGACCCCTCTGCCTTCTGTAAAAGGTGACAGTCAAAATCACAAATGCCTTCGAGCATGTTCAACAGCACTGCTGTAACTCTTTAAGTCTGAACAAGGACAGCAACAAGTAAAACGAGCTCAAATGTATCTCAAAGATTCCCAATTATCACATTCTCATAACCACTTCAAAACCAAGCTTCTTTGCATGGTAACTCTGTAAATGATGGTCTAACGGTCTAACCTTTGGTCACTCACGAAATCACATTTAGACAATAGACATTAAAAGTCCTTTATCGTCTACATGGAATACTACATTATATTAGAAAATTTTACAGAATAACCTTGATGTTAAGCATAGTGGTCAAATTGACCTTGAGTTTTTACAAATATGCTTAGGTTGTGGATTTCCCTAAATGATGACAGAGGGTAACACAGCAAGTAATCCTCTCCTGTCTTCCTGGTCTTCTTAAAGCTAAATAAACATTTTATATCTTTCATATGAAAAATAAAAAGAAAGACAAGGAAATCAAAAATACACCTCACTTATAGATACCACCCCACAACCACCACCACTACCCTTGCGGCCAACACTCCCTCCAACCAAACCTTTCAATCACCAACCACCACCACCACCACCATCACCCCAACCCCCCCCCCCCTCTCTCCCCCCATCATAAATTCTGCCAATCTTGTACTAGAGTTTGTGAGGGAACAAGAATGCGTACGTCGTGACTGAAAGAGAATATACCAAAAAATTGCAGCACCAGAAACATCATGACTTGCAACAGCTTAACAATTACCTTCCTGAACCTTCTTCACAATCACAGCCAGAAATCATTAAGTGGTCTTTACTAGTGGTTCTCAATATTACTTATTTTCTCGCTGACCTAAAAAAGGGGGGGGGGGGTGGAACTCAGAGAAAGAGAGCAGTGTGTCATGTACTGACAGCACAGATGATTTATGGCATTGTAGTCATGATTTTTGGCAATGGTGGTGACACAACTGCTGTTTGTGACATGTGAAGAGTTGGGAATAATATCAACAAAGTGTCACCTAGTGGATAAGGACACTATTGAAACAAATCCTTAGAAGTTAGGACGGTTAAGGTCTTCAATAATCTGCTGAAGACCAAAAACTGTTTCAGAAATGTTAATACACAAAGATAAACTAGAATGCCTTTACTAAGCAGTTAGCAAAACAAGGACCCCTTACCTTTAGGAAGGCTGCCATACATGGAATAGAATGTCATCTGCGAGCACATTCCATAGGGTTACAGGAAAGGGGATACCCATTTCCCTTTCAAGGATAATTAGAGGCATGGTCTAATAGTAAAGCATGTGATTGGATACTTGGAGAGAAGAATACTAATTCTTTAACAGCCCATTTGGTAGGTAATAATAAATTATAGTATTGTGAATGAATTCAAGTGTAATTTATGTACACATTAATGCAACTCAATTCCAATCTGTTTTTTTTCTTCATAAATAACAATCACACCCAATACCACCTCTCAAGTGATAATGGATGGCAATGAAATTTTATGAAGAAAAAGAGAGATTTTGGAAATTACCATGAACATATTGCATAATAATTTTTGGTCATATGTACATACATATTCATTCTCAATACCACTATTTATTACTACGTACCAGATGGGCCATTAGAGTTTTTTTTATACTTTCTCAATTTCCCTCACCAGGATCTTGAGGCTTTATCCTTCCATTTGCCACCGCATAGTGCAGCCCTCTACCCATATGGTATGGTGAACGATAATTGCTGCTATATAATAGGTGACACTAAATATTTAATTCATAAGAGAACTTATAAGCCCTACTTGGCAAGTCTTCAACATTGTATACAGCTTTGGAAAACTTCTGCCTGAAAAAATCTTTTTGCCCCTTAAGTCAGCAGAAACTCTTGTTCTATGAAGTGATTTTGTAAAACAAATTACACATGATAAAATTAAAACCACTTATACATAGTAAGGCAATCAATCATATGTACTCGCTCCATAGATGTATAAAGAACTTGTTGCATGTCCTATGGGGCAGAGCAAGTGTGGTTTGGCAAATCTTTCCAAATTAAACAACTATAAGAAATACATGACAGAAGAAAATCAGCCACAATAATATAACCTGGCCTACACTTTTACCCAAATCCCTACAAAGTATTTGGTTGAGAAGAATCATAATCATTATCCCAGCACTTTAAATGAGAATCTTTCCCTGGGGGATGAAGAAGGTCAGACGATGTATGCAGCCTTTTTGATGATAATGTATGCCTTGCACTGCAATGCACAAAGGCTGTCTTGCTTAAACCCTTGATTTTAGTGCTTTGACTAACTTCAGCCATACAAAGTTTGTTGAGCTATTTTGATCTAATATTTCCAATAACCCAAAGTAGAAACATTACCATACCAAATGCCAACAATATTTCATTCAGCTTCATTGGCAATGCTTTAAACAAATTTAGAGTGAGGCTAAATACAAATACCCTAGGATATTTAATGTCGTAGCTATTTTTAAGCATTGGAATGTGGGATACTGTTATCTCCCTTTTTATTTCTAACACTTCAGGTGCTTAATATACAAAGCCACATAACAGGTAATGCAAGTATTTTCAGGTCTGATCCAGGTAGGTAATGACCTAAGAAACCATCAAGAGGTTGTGGTCTGCATTAATACACTTCCAGAGGATTTTGTTAGTTGTGTATCAAGCTGAACAAATAGGGATAAAATCCCATTTCCCAAGGCAGAGTAAACTACAATAAAGCAGTATAGCCAATACAATTCCCCTTCTGTACGAGAGGGGGGAGGGGATTGAACTACCGTGTCAGGTTAGGTTGTTAGGAACTTCAATCCTTTGGTTTAGATGCATGACATACATCTCTTCAAAGTGATTATAGGCAATAATAAAATTAATATAATTCCATTCTTTAATATCCATCAGCTGATCAGCATCAATCCTTCTTCCCTCAGAACTTCATTCGAATAACAAATAAATAATCAGCCACCACTTAATTACATACTATAACCAACACTAATAAAATACTTTGTTTAATATACTCTGCAAGTCTAAAAAATATCATTCAATAAAAAATTAGCAACCTAGCTGTTAAGCCTTGTTGCTTTTCCTACTACTAATTATTACCATCCTTGTTACTCACAGCCATCATACTCCATCCATACATAACCTTTTTATTCCTGAAAATCCTTATGTGTTTGACACAAACAAAAGCACCAAACAGCATTGGCCAAAAAATTTCTTACTCTCATCAGTTTTTCCATCTACACCCCAATAACGATACACCAGAATTGCAAAGCAAATCTTTATAGCCATACTTGCATGTTCTTTATTATTTTCTCAATTTTAGCAATTTCTATAGAACAAACAGTAAAACCATGTGCATGGTACAACCAAGACTATTCTCTTGGCTAATCTGCTCATTTAGGAGAGTTCCAAATGAGTAAATGTGGCCAAAAATAACCTTGGTTGTACCATGCACATGATACAACTATTGTATTAACACTACTATGGACATCTTGGCCATTGCTTATTAGTTCTACCGCATTTACTTTTGACACCAAACACATACTCAACTTCGTCCTTCTTTGGTTGATAATACCAATGGAATAACACAGCAGTGTGGGATTTTGTTAGGTTCGACTCAATATATATATTTTCAATACATCAAATCTCTTTAATAATCTTTACTAATAGAGAATTATTGATACCAAAGGACAAAGTTGTGTGATGGAACACGTTACAAGTCAATAGGGTAGAACTATCAATAAACAAAGGAAGTAATTATCTACAACAACGCTCAAACAACCTCTTCCAGCCAAACCCAATTAACCCTAGAAATTCCATGTGATTACAACAAAACAAACACAAGACAAACTGATCCTCCATCGCCTCATCTAGACCAGACCACCCTAATCTCCAAAGGGGAAAATAATACCCTTATATGTCTATAGGGGCTAACTTGCAACTATTTTTAAAAGCTAGCCACATAATATGGCAGCCTGAAGGGGAACAAAGTCCCTGATATGAAGGTGCTTTCAAGGCACACTCATAACACCTACTTTTATATTTTGATATGATAGATTAATATTGAAATTTCTTTTCCTATGTAGTCATCAACTCTTCATGTGGAAATCTCCTGAAACTATAGCTCTTATTCTTACTTAGTCATTGACACCAGTTGTGTCTTATAAAGTAAGGATTAATAATTCAATACTAAACTTTCTTTTTCACACACATCATCCCCTGTAACAAACTAAACATACTTGAAAAATAATTACATACTCCAGCATATGTTGACCAAAAAGTGGAACTCTTTCCTCTATTGGTATGGTTAAAGAAAGAACAGCTAAACCTCAATTACAAGTGAACACTACTTAAAATTTAGATCGAAGAATTTGCTTATCAATTTAAGCACTAAGAGTTGGACACTTGGACCCCAACCCCACTAATACTTCTACAAACTTAAAGAAGTGGCCATTATAAGTCAAATCATTGTCACAGTGGTAGAAAGGTGTCAACATCAACAACTAAACTCTGTCTGGTTAGACAGCAGATACAAAGTGAAGTAAGAGATATCTATATCTATATCTACATATATATATATATATATATATATATATATATATATATAAAAGAACAGAGCGAAAAAACAAAGAGAAACCCTGCTTTAGTTAGTATAGATAAAAGTATAAAACTTCGACAATACAGGTTAACACTAACCATTATTATTGAAATTTCTTTGAGCCATACATGCTCATTTTCCAGTCAATACGTGAAAATGGGCATTAGATACAGCCTATTATCTTCTTTAGCCCCAAGGAAATAGCCTAGCAATCTAGCATACGATTCTAGTAGTATTTCTAGATTTTCAACGTTGTGGGCATTTTGCAATAAAAGATGATTTATCATTCAATGACTTTCAAAAAGAAATTTTGAAGGGTGTTTCACTCAAATGATACTTTAGAATACATCCACTAAGAAAAACCTTTGGCTAAGGGATTGTTCGTTATCGTTTTTTGTTTCAAGTTTTCAATTGTTTTGAAAACTAAGAACAAAAATATGACTACCAAAAAAAGTAATTACTACTTTTCAGTTATTAGTATTCAAAATTAACATGATTAGTACAGGTATGGCTAGTTTTAAGTTCAAAATACAGCTTATATATCTTTTAAATTCTAAAAAACAAAAACAAGAAACTTGCAATGATGCTGAATGTTCCTTAAGCAACTAATGATATTTTTATCCAATTTAATACATGAAAAGAAACAAAGACAATTGTGAGGGTACAGACTCCCCTCTTCAAGGATTCATGTCTCTTTTTAGTGGCTTTTGTACAGCTGGGGTCGAGTTTTAGGCTTTGAGTGATACTTGGCGCTTCTTAAAAAATCACTTGAAATTTATCCTTAGCCCTCCTTTTGTATATGGGGCAACATCCCCTTGGTGACATCTAACATCTCCTCCTCCATTCCATTCCAAAGACATTGTCATTAAGGGTTAGATTTAACGAGCTAAGGGTTAGACATTGTCATTAACAAATAGCTTGGTATTAGTGGGACCAGAGGAAACGAAATTGGGTAAATAAGCATTCATTAACCAAAGAGAACAGAAAGGTGGACAATTTCTATGAGGTAGAGGGAGAAAAGTGCATTTTTAAGAATCAAATTGATAACTCCCAAGAAAGATATAGATAGACACATCCACAAAATTTATCTTTAAATTTTAGAAGAAACTCAAAGCTCTTTTGAAGTTCCCTTTTATAATTTTAAAGCCAAACCAAATCTATGAGATTTTATATCAATGATATTGAGAAAGTCTCCACCTTCAAGATTATGGAGATATCAAAAGACACTATGCTATGCAGACCCAGTTCAATAGGTAAAGCACATCATACAGATTCAAAGCTAACACTTTACTAGCCAATTGCTAGTCTAAGAAACATCAATTGATCTGAATCAATAAATTATCATATTGTAGGAATCCACCATATACATGTATATAGCAGAATCTTATACCACTATATTCCAGCATGCATTTGATACAAAGAACTCTTTTTAAGTTCAAATACAGAAATCACAAGTTCAATGAGGTGTTGAGCTTTCCTTCAATTTATAGTTAAAAAGCAACCCAAATCTATATGAATTAGGGAAGAGGGTTAAGAAATGCTAACCTGTGGTACCACCTCCTTTCACAGTGCATTTGATGTCCCAAAGACCTAATGTCTTTGTCTCAGCAAATGGTCGAAGAAGAGCAGCACGATGATCAAGCATCGGGAAATAGACATCAAACATCTTGTCATTAATCAAAAAACTTCCCTCGCCAGGTTGAATCCAAACTCGAGCTATACTGCACTTTCTCCTTCCGGTCCCGTAAGCTCTTCCTTTCTCATCCACTTGTCTAACCCTTGCCTTTGCAGCTTCCTCCTGCTTCTGAAGCTCCAATTCATATCTCGATGATTTTCTAAAAGTCTTCTCATAACGCTCATCTTCTATTTGTGTCAAAGGAGGCAGTCCATCAATATCTTGGAAATTTTTCAAGGCAATCAAGCTATCCAGCATTGCATCAGTGATTCCAGATGCAGCAACGAGGTCACCAAAAGCACGGTTTGGACCTGAACAAAGCAGCATAGACTTCAATAAATTATAACAACAAAACAGAAAAAGCTGCTTCTCTAAATCTGCAGGATGATAGGGACACAAAATAGCAGATCTTGACATTGAAATCAGATAGCATTAAGGTGAAACAGGAAGAGAACCAGAGAGACATATAGGAATACATGTGATTAAGATCATACCAAGTTATGTTCAATCTACAACAAAAAAATGACTTTGACATGAAATATCTCTTAAGATTTAAGAATCACCCAACTCCATTAACATAACCTACTGACGACAACAACATGCATCAAAGTGTTGAGATAAGGTCACTTCACATAACTGCTTGTTATGTTAACACAAGAAACCCACATATGCAAAAACCTCAATTTCATTTACATGGCATAGAATCTCTGCACCACTAGATGCAACTAACAGAAAAGGTAGACAAGTTCCAACAAACTAGCAATCAACCAAGCCAGGCCTTGTCAGTGAGTGTTAATTTTTTAAATTTTAGAAGAAAGTTCCTTTGATCTCTTTAAATCTTGGAAGTTTGTTTCTCAATTTTGCACTCAATGCCCTAATGTGTCCTGCTAACTATTACCTTTCCTCGACAGATGAATGACAAATTGAAAACTAGTTTCTGTGTACTGGTATTATATCCCTCCCCCTACCCAGAGTCCCTACTTCACCTTCTTCCCCACTGTTTTAATCTTGATAATACATGTTCCAACTTCCAAGATCAAATTTCTTTACCCAACCAGGTAAATGGCAAGGTGATGTATGTGCACAAGATCGATGAATTGAGACATTAGGAAATTGAAACGATCCCTCCTATGTATCTAAGTATTTGTATCTACATTGCAACAGAAATTGATACACACTTTGGCATCAAATCCAAAAACTTACAGAAATTTTGATACTTCGTAGAACACAAGGAATAATATACAATCATACAAATCAACTGAAAAATAAAGGACAAGAATTCACCTTTAAGAACATCCATGAGAGCTTGTTCTTCCTTCTCAAGCTCTAATTTCTGAGCAGCACTCACCATTTCCCTCTCCTCCACAGTCCCATCACTTCTTCCCTCACCTCGGACACCGCCTTCGAGCCCGAACAGATCCTCCACCCTCCCCTCCTCCCCTAATTTCCATGGCTGAAACCCTGGCGATGGCGATACCCTCTCACCACCCACCCCACCACTCTCTCCCCCTCCAAACTCATCAAACACACCTCCATCACCAACATCCCCACTTTCTCCAACAACCCATGATTGTTCTCGTGAAACCCTCGAATCTCTCCTCACTTCCTCCTTATCCCCCGTCAAATTCCCTTCATGGGTACTAAAAAAATCATCTAAATTACTCGTTTCTGGGCCGATTTTCCATAAATCTGAAGTGGGTTTTTCCCCATTTCCATTTTCACCATTGCTGGAGAAATAGCGACTGTGATTGATGAAATTGGTCGATTGGAATTTAGGGATTTGAAGAGATTGAAAAGGAGGGTGGAAATGAGGAGAAAGAGTGATAGAAAGGTGTCGGAGTTGCCGAGAATGGATTGCAATGAAGCGTGAGAGCATTGCTCTAGTATGAGGGTTTAACAAGGGTTTCTAAAGTTTTTCAGCAATATATGAGTATGAAAATTTGTAATGTCAAAGGAGGCGATGTTCTTGTTGTATGTCAATTGGCAAGAGTGCAAGTGCAACACCATATTCAGGAACGATCGAAAAGAGCTTGTTTACCCATTGAGAGGGGTCGATACTCAATAGGACAAAATCCGCTAAAGGGCTTGTAAATGGGTCGTTTTTTTTGGATTTGGGTGAAGACGATGAATTGGTGAATCTCGTTCGTTACAAAATTTAGATGGTGCACTAGTACTACCTCCGTTACATATTATATGCAACTTTTAAGTATTATTTGTGAGATATAAAAATTTCAAAGTTGCATATAATATATAACCAAAATTGCAAATCATGCTCATCTCACATGAAAAGAACATTACTCAATATTAAAAAGAACATAAGAATACAAATTCAATCTGTAATAATAACATAATACTAAGGCCCCGTTGTTTTGGACTGAAATTTGCTGAACTGATCTGTGCTGAGCTGAACTGAAATTTGCTGAACTAAACTAAAACGACCTGAATAATAATAATAGTAATAGTAATAGTAATAATAATAATAATAATAATAATAATAATAATAATAACGCATACGCATCGTACTAAGTGTCGTCATATATAGTACGGGTGAGATTGATTCAACCCCGGATGAAGGAGATGGTATTGTTCGTTTTGTGCTTTATGGTTTCTCCAAGCCTCAAGCTCCCTCTTCTCCAGCGGCTTGGACACATGGGTGGTTTGGTGCAAGATCAACAGTGTGGTTTTGATGTGGCTCTTCTTGATTGTTTGTTCTCTAAGGGTTTTCGTACTGTGAAGTCTATCCCTCCCAAGTGTCGTTTGGGGTTTTCTCGGGTTCTGAAAGGTGCTCTTGATAAGGTGATCTCTAAGCCTGATGACATTTCTAGTTGGGTCTCTTTGTTGGTATTATCTCTTTGCACCCTTAAAACCTTTCGTCCGCGGAGCAGCTCTGAGTCTAGGTCTTCGGCAAAACGTCAGCTTCAAGAAGAAAGTATTTCCCGTGCTATTTGTTCTTGGAGTGCACCAAGTGGTAATTTGCAGCTTGTGAGGGATACTATGGTAGAGGATTCTCCTACTTTCTCAGTGGTTGATGATGAGGACCTTGATTTGGACGAGCGTAATATCAAGCAGTGCCGTAGGAAGATTTGTGATGGCCATTACACCATTGTTGTCCAGATGCTTTCTTCTTCAAGCGTTGCTCCTTATAATGAGGCCACTTCTGCAGATTTATGGTCTAAACACCCTACTTCTCCAGCTCCATCCTTGCCTGATATACCTGTTATTACCTTCATCTCGTTACTACTTCTGCTGTTGTTTTAGATCGGATTAAGAGTTTTCCACATGGCACATCATAAAAGAGAATTTCATTATGGTTCAAATAATTTTATTGATGCTTTAAGCATCGAAATTGAGCTATTAAGTGTCTTAATACACAGGAATAAAATGTATTACGGTGCCTACGTGCACTTAAGGTGTTATAAACACCGAGGGATAGGATTGGCGGTGCTCTATGCGCTTAAGGTGTTATTTAACGCCGATATAGTTTAAAAAGGCTTCAACGTTAAATTTATATGGTCACTAATTATTCAAGAATTAAATTGGTGTGTTTGATTGCTTGAATGATTTATTATGATTGATTGTATTATGGTTTGAGAGTCATCACCAAGTCTAAAAATATGTAAATCAGTAAAGTGAAAGAGATTACGCACCAAAACTCTTGGAACGTATATACCTTGAGTATGAACATATGGGGGGAGTTATGCGACTTTATATTTGATCATAAGTTCTACTAGGAGTATAGGACGCTGTATTTTCCTTTATTTATTTTATGTGCAGGACGTCCAGTCACTTTTATTTGGCATTTGCCTATTTGGCTAGTTCCCTGTGTAGTTTACCTCAATTTATTTGGGGCAAGGGTTTGGTGGGAAACCTGTTCGATGCGTAATCAAATTAAATAAGCAATTCATTTTTTTATTGGTTGGTTGTTTGGTATGTTGTATGCTTGTAACAGGTGCAATAAGGTAAGTTGTGTGTTGATAGGATGAAAGCATGTTAGTGTGTACTGTTTACGTTTATGTACTCAGCTTTGCTGATTGTATGTTTGTTTAGCCTTATTTTTATCTTGGGCCTACGACGGCCCATTTCTAATAGCGAGTAGTGGGGACAAAGTAAAGAGAAGTTTTTCAAGTGATGAAGCATATTCATGATGGGCATGAGTGAAGAGCGAATCATGCTTAGTTTCTATAAGGATATGATGTGGTTTATTGTTTTGATTATCATATATTTTGCTTGTGAGACTAACACAATGGTTTTTAAAATTCGTTTTGGGTTTTGATAAGGGCCTACAATGGTTCCAAGTTGTAGGTTGACTTCGTTTAATTTTGGTTTAGCTTCACTTTTGTTTAGTTTGACTTCTTAAGTTAACTTGTTTTGAATGATTTTTAAAGTGAGTATTCCGCTATGAGTCTTTGATAATTGCCTTAGCCGTTTTCACGGTGGCGGTAATGTCTTAGAATTTTTTATTTCGTATTTTAAAAGGAGCAAAACAGGTATTTTAAAGGAATGTAATTTCTAGGGTGTTACAAAGTGGTATTTTGGGAGTTTTGGTTGAGATTTTTATTACCTCTAAAGCCAAAAACGTGTTTTAAAGTATTTTGTTTTAAACTTGGCCAAGTGTTTATTTAATCAAGTAATTTTAAAAGTGAGTTATTTTATTTTATTTTAATTAAAAGTGGACCAAATTTTTTTTTAAAAAGGTCCAAATTTTTTTTTTATTTTTTATTTTGGGAGAAATCCGAAATTTTTTTTACTTGAAGTGTCCGATTTTTTATTATGGCCGAATATTTTGGTTTTTTTTTTTCGGAATTTATTTTCGAAATTTTTTTTAAAGAGGAGGCAAAAATATTTTTAGTTTGTTCATTTTGCAGGAAAGCGAAGGATTAAGGTAAGAATTACATGTTAAAAGCTTTAAAAAAACATGTTGGTGAGCTTGGGTAGGAAAGAATTTAGGCATATAAGTTAGAATAATCATGTTCTTGTATGCATTTATATTTAGGTTGTGATGTTTGACCATGTGAATTGATCGATTGGAAGCATGTAATTATGTGACTAGAAATAAATAAATTGTTTGATTGAACATTGAACCTAAATTCATGCAAGAATTGTGTTATTTTATTTTCTTTGGTAAGGGAATTCTTTTCTCAGTCTTTTCCTTTACAGGATGCCGATTTTTCCTAACAAACACTCTCAAATTGGTACTCTAATTAAGAAAGAATATGAACATCCTTTTGACTATGTCAAGAAAATTCGTTTCTACTCTTCTCATATGAACGATGTCCTAGGAGACAAGCATTATGACCTTCCTGTTCAGCTATGATAATTCATTGTCTTCCTGACGAACCACCATATCTTGCTGTCAAAGCAAAATTTGTTGATTTCTATTTGGCTGGGGACATTCCTAACTATTCCAAATACAAAGATTATTATGGACAGTGGTACCCTGACTACGGATACTTGATTTCTTATCTCGTTCGAGTAGAAAGGTATCACTGCGAGCGTTTACATGTTCCATATCCAAATTAATACTATAATAACGCAGCAGGGAATAATTCCCCTTCCACTAGTCATTAATCACGAAAATCTTCTCCACCACAGGGTAATCAAGCAAGAGCGAATGAAGGGTAAGAGGAAGGAGAGCTAATGTATGAGAGTAACCATACTGTTGATAGTTCCATTATGGAAATTCCAGATCCAAATCCACCCCCAACTCCAATTATAATTGACATTTCATCTGACGATGAGGAAGATGAAGAGTTCATTCAAGTAGAGCAAAATCCATAGAGACCTGAACCAATGGAGGAGGAAGATGACCTTGAATTCGATCTTAGAAGCTACAAACAATCAAAGGACGAGGACAATGTTCGAAAGGAGTAGATTTTTGTAGTTTCATTTCCTTTAGGATTCTTAGTTTCATTTCCGCATTTTAATTATTTCCTTTGTCAGTGAAGTAATAAGTGGCATGGCCACAGTGAGTATATAAACCTATTGAGTTGCATAGGTTATTCGAACTCATTTCATTTCATCTTTCTATTCATTTTCTTACTCAACAATAAAATTTTATTCATTTCCTTTCCAAATAATTCATTTTACTGCCAAATAATTCATTTCGTTTCCAAATCATTCATTTCATATCACTACTTCAATGAGCCATTTCTTACTCAAATATTCCAATAACTCATTTCTAAACTCGGGGAAATCATGTGAATTATTTTTATTTATTGATGTGATGCTTTATTAAATGTATGTTTTTCTCCTGTATAGTAGCGAGTATATTTGTTGGAAGCATTTATTTTGCAGATACTGGAGATAGATAGTACATTTGATGCTTGGCTAAAAAAAAAAGGCTGAATGCAGTCTTGTGTCCAATCTTATGGTTCATTTGGTGTCTTTTGAGATCCATGACATTCTTAGTATTGTAAAAATTTGATTTAAAAATAAATAAGAAAATGAGTGAATTGAAGAAAATGAGTGAATAATTTACACTAAATTTTAAAAAAAATTAATACAAGTATTGTCTATTTTATCTTAAGAAAATATTATGTGGTTGAATTAGTGATTAGCAATTGTGTTATAAATTAGTGAATGAATTAGTGAAATTACATTATTTACTCAAAATTTTTAAAAAATTAGTGATTAGCAATTGTTAGTTTGATTAATGATGCGTTATTCTTTAGCAATGTATGTAGGTATTAATTACTTACTAACTTTTGTTTTTTGTTTTTAATTTTTTATAGATTCGTATGTGAATTGAAGCACAAGTTTAGCTTGAAGACTACATATTTAGCTCAAGTGGGAAGTTAGAAGGAATACATCCATTGTACTTGCTGTAGTGGTATGAATTATAAACTTTGTCTATATTTCTTTTTCTTGATTCATTTAATGAAAGTTTTTTCATGCTATTACAACTTGTGTATTGTTTAATGACAAATAAATACAACAATATATATAAATGCTTGCATCACCATATGCCTAGATACCCGTCAAGGCTTTCTCATTAGGAGAAAGTCTTGAATAGTCCCCGGTTGGGACTGTTCTTGAACGTTTACTCTCACTTAGGTGGTGAATGTATGTCTTCTTTTTTCGATTTTAAGGAACATCATGGCTTAGCATTTCCTTA